AGGACAAATTCTGTTTGTCCTTTGGGGCCAAACTCCAGGATCATTTCTCTAACACCCCAAAGCAGGGAAACTCCTCCAGGCTTTTGAAACATATTGTTTTTCCAGCCACAAAGACCTGCTCAGCTTGAAATCACAATCCCAAGCTGATGTCTCTCCATGCTTGGCTGTGAAGTCGCAGTCCTTGAGAGCAAAACCTCTAGGTGGCTAGTCCCCACCTTTAGCAGAGAGGGGCACTCAGGAGATGCCTGTGGTGCCTATGTGACCTCTGCCCCAGGGGTGGCCCTAGGTCACCTTGGAGCCTAGGTCCCTCCGTACCTGCAGGGCATAGGACACAGAAAGGCCCACCAGCCCTGGATTCAGGCTGCTTCTCCCAATCACGGCAAATAATGCAGCAAAGAACACAGCACAGCTGCCCACAAACTCCACTCGGATGCTCAGCCACCTGTCGGGGGTCACACAAGGAGGAAACGGGGCCCGGTGGAGGAAGGGGCCAGTTTCCTGTTTCGGGGAAAGGGAGGGCCAGGACCCTGAGTGCCAGAGAGTCTAGTGGGAACTCCTAGAGGAGCAGAAGGTGGGGGAGGCGGCTCCTTACCGGTTGGAGATGATGTAGGGGTAGCAGCTCCTCTGGTTGATGTCCACCTTAGTATCACTGATGACCTGGAAGTCCTGGCCACGGTTGTAAGCCCGGATGACGCTGGTGCCAGTCATCGTCTCCGAAAAGTGGGAGTAGACGGGCGAGCGGCTGACCGATTCCAGCCGCTTCAGTTGCCGTGATGTGGCCACGTAGAAGCGCTGACGGGGATGGGGAAAGAGTGCGGTCAGGCCCCGGGAACCCCCAACTCAGTCCTGCCTGTCTCTGAACCCATCCGTTTCCCCTGGCCTCCTCCCAGCCAGCCTTGCTCCTACCCTGAGACCTTGCTGCCTGCCCCTGCCTCCAAAGACCCAAGGCTTGGGGCCTTGGCGCGTCTGTCATTTACCCTTCTTCCCCTCTGCTCATCTCTGCTCCAGCCCCACAAAAACATGGTCTGTCCCCACTTTCCATCCTCTCCCCGGTGGGCCCAAGACGGCCAGGACCACGCAGCATGTGTTTCTGAGGCTCCCCCGGCCCAGCACAGAGCACAGCCCAGATCACGGTTTCTGTACCAGGGGCCGAGCTTCTGCTACGGTTAATTCATTGCAGAACAGGAGCTTAGCATCTGCAAAAGCCTTTTACAGTTAGGCTGTATCTGTATCTGAACATTATCAATTCATTCATGTTGAACACATACAAACACACATATGTTCAGATAGGTAGAAAAAGAAGGGAAGGACAATGTGTCCCAAGCCATTAAGAATGTTTTATTAAAAAAATAGCCAACAGGAAGGAGCCCCAGGGCCAGTCACAGTTTATCTCACTTTATTTATCCTCACACCAATGCTATGAGGTAGGTTCAAGTCCAGGGATCCTCAAACTTTTTAAATAGGGGGCCAGTTCACTGTCCCTCAGACCGTTGGAGGGCTAGACTACAGTTTTAAAAAAACTATGAACAAATTCCTATGCACACTGCACATATCTTACTTTGAAGTAAAAAATAAAAACACCCGCATGTGGCTCGCGGGTTGTAGTTTGAGGATGCCTGTTCAAGTCTATCTTATAGGTGAGGAAAATGAGTTACAAAGAGATGAAGTAGCAAAACCCAGTTGCAATGCTGGGGGCCTGAAGCGCCCCGCCCCTGTCTGCCCCACCCACGCGGACGCCCCGCCCACATCAGAGCCACGCCCACCTGCCCACGCACCTGCACGTAGATGTAGAGCGCCCCTAGAGGCAGGATGACCACAATGAAGATCGGCGTGCTGGACACGATGACCACCATAGTGGAGATGCAGTTGAAGAAGGAACCCAGGAGCATGAGGGCGGTGGAGGCCAGAACCTCATCAATGACATAGATGTCCTTGGAGAAGCGGTTGAGGATGCGGCCAGAGGGCGTTGTGTCGAAGAAGGACTGTGGCGAGCGCATCTTGTTGTGCAGCAGTGCCTGGTGCAGCAAGCGCGCAGCCTGCATGCCGCCCACGGCCATGGTCAGGGCCGCCAGCATCACCAGGAGCCCTGTTGGAGGGAGAGGATGGCTAGCTTCCCTGGGCCAGGGGCGGGCATGGGGGGCAGATTCACGGACCTGGCTTGGCCAGAGCGGGTTAGGGAGGCTCCAAGGCAGGAACATGGCAGCCTAGAGGCGAGGAAGGGACGTGGGAGCCCGTTTGGGGCACCCCCGCAGTTCACCTTGCAGAATTCCCAAGCCTGCATAGACGCCCAGCCTCAGGGAAGTGGTGTTCTGTCTGCTGTCCATCGTGGCATCATTGGCCCAGGCACTGAGCCACACGCTGGCCCCGATGGCGGCCGCGCTTTGACCCACATGTAGGAGAAAGATGGCCAGCGAGGTCCAGAGCCCCACTGCCTTGGCATAATCCCAGAACACACTCAGCTTCACCTGTAGGGAGTGGCAGTCGGGGACAGAGGACTCTATGAGTCCGGGGGATGCTGGAGGGCCTGTCCATCCTCTCCAGCCTCTCTGGTCCACCCTACTCACAGTGCCAATCTCCGCTTTCTCCTCCTGGATCAGTACCCCGTTAGCCTTCGCCTCTGTCACCTGCACCTTCTGTGATGGAATGAGGCATCTCCGGGGCACAGGCTCACCCTGGTCCTCTCCTTCAGAGGACATGGCACTCATCTGTCTGGGGAGGCAACTGGTCAGGCCCAGGGAGAAGGCCCCCAACCCTTGCCACCCCAGGACACAGGCCCAGGGTATGAGTGTCAGGGAAAGACCTGCCTGCAGCCCACCTGGCAGGGCTTGGGGAGCCCTGCTGCAGCCTCTCCGGGGGTGCTGGGAGCTCTCAGGAGCTCACCTCATAAACTGCTTCTGGACCTCGTACATGACTGGCTCATTATCCATCAGGTCTGTGTGGTTGCTGAGCGTGTCTTCCAGCAGCAGCACCTCCTTGGCCTCTGCGCCTTCCAAGGCTGTGGTGGGGTGGGAGGAAGTAGCCAGAGTCTGGCTGGCCCTCCCTGCAAGCCCCTGGAACCCGCCAATCCCCACTCCAATGAAAGGGCCCGAATGGACAAGCATGAGAAACAGTGAGGGATTGAAAGGGCAACAAGAAAGACTTGGGGCCGGGCGCGGTGGCTCACGCTTGTAATCCTAGCTCTCTGGGAGGCCGAGGCGGGCGGATTGCTCAAGGTCAGGAGTTCAAAACCAGCCTGAGCAAGAGCCAGACCCCGTCTCTACTATAAATAGAAATAAATTAATTGGCCAACTGATATGTATATAAAAAAAAATTAGCCGGGCATGGTGGCGCATGCCTGTAGTCCCAGCTACTCGGGAGGCTGAGGCAGAAGGATCGCTCGAGCCCAGGAGTGTGAGGTTGCTGTGAGCTAGGCTGACGCCACGGCACTCACTCTAGCCTGGACAACAAAGCGAGACTCTGTCTCAAAAAAAAAAAAAAAAAAAAGAAAGACTTGGGTTAGACAACAAGAAACACTTCCCTTCAAGGACTATGGAGGAGACTCCAATATAAGGGTTGGGAACTTGGGCTTGGGAGTCAGACTGGCTGAGCTTAAAGCCCACTCCCTTGCTGTGCCCCCTTAGGCAGGCATGTAAAAAGCGGGTGAGAGTATCTACTTCATTGCACCATCGTGAGGGTTAAAGGGAAACACGTCAGATGCTGAGCAAGGGGCTCAGCACTTGGAAATGCTCGAGGCATGTTTGCCGATTATATGGCAGCAGGCAGAAGGTCCGGGAAGAGGTCTGCCAGCCGATCCAGAGTTTGGGGCTGGAGGGCTGGGACCAGGCAACAAGAGGGTGGGGGCGGGGGTGCCTTGTGAGCCCAGAGACTTCAGTTGGTTCTATGAGATAGGGATTTTTCTGTTTGCTCACAGCCATGTGTCAGTGCCTAGAACAGTGCCTGGACATAGTAATTGCTCAGTAAATCTTGGTTGATAAGTAAATGACTTCACCAAGCTCTTGCACGACTGTCAATTTATCCATGAAACAGCCTCGCCACACAAGCTGGGCCTGGGCTCTTATACCCTTTTGACAAATAGGAAAACTGAGGCTTCAAGACCTGAGCTGCTGTTCCAAGGTCCCAGAGTTAGGGAACGGGAGGAGGTAGGACTTGACTATGTCCAGCATACTTTCCTTCTGGTGGCTGTCACACAGATGGCCCAAGTTTCCCAAAACCTCCCTGCTGCAACACTGAGCCAGTCCTGAGACACTCAGAGACTTCCCAGGCAGGGAAGATCCCGGGAGGCCATGGGGATCAGAGGGCCAGGGATGGCGGTACCAGTCCTGCTGTCCTCCAGGTGTTCCTGGTCCTCATCAGGTGCATAGTTGCGGAGGAAGTTAGCAAAGTAGCCGTCGCGCTGCAGCAGGGCTGGGTAGGGGCCCATCTCAGACACCTGTCCGTCAGCGAGCACTATGATGAAGTCTGTCTGGGGCAGGAAGCTGATGCCATGTGTCACCAGCACCCGAGTCTGGGGAGAAGGCAGCAGGCTGTCACCCCCACTGGCCTCAGCACACACCCCTGGCACAGGCATGGAGACACAGAGTGAGTGCGAGGTGCCGTGTGCCAGGGAGCTGGACAGGCACATGGGCGGCTTACTCCGTGCTAGCTACAGCCTGCTTAGTGCCTCAGGGGTGTGTGTCTCCATGGGTGTCCCCTGCCACCCAACCCATGTGCCTGTTTCTTAGGCCCCTACACCTCCAGGTCTCCCCTAAACCTCCAGCCTCCCACCAGTTCTCTCCACGGGCCCTAGATTTCACTTTAGCCCCCTTAGCCCCTGGCAGGCCTCACCTTGCCTGCCAGCACACCTTCTGGCCCGATGACTTGGTCGAAGATATGCTTGGCCACATGGGAGTCCACTGCTGACAGCGGGTCATCCAGCAGAACAATGTCAGCATCACTGTAGACAGCTCGAGCCAGACTGACCCTCTGCCGCTGGCCCCCAGACAAGTTAATGCCCTGGAAGGAGGAGGGTGATGGGAGGTGGGGGCTCAGTGGAAGGGGGTCTGACAGGCCCAGGGGGACAAAGGCCTGTCCACTGTCATTCAGCAAGGCAGGCCTCTGAACCTACATTTCACAGGCAGTGAAAGGGCAACGAGAAAGACTTGGGTTACACAACAAGAAAAACTTCCCTTTGGGGTCTGTGGAGAAGGAGGCTGTCCTTGCAAAGTTGAAAAGCCACAGAGGAAGGGGCAGTGGCTCTCAGAGTCCTCCTGGGGCAGATGAGGCCATCCTCCTCCCTTACTCTACCACCCTGCCCAGCCGGTTTCCTGCCCAACCCAAGTGCCCATTGACAGATGAGTGGATAAACAAAATGTGATATTCACATAAAATGGAATATCACTCAGCCTCAAAAAGTGAGGAAATTCTAACACATGCTACAACGTTATACTGATGAAATAAGACACAAATACTGTATGTACGATTCCACTCACGCAAGATGCCTAGATAATATGGTTTGAATATTAAAACTCCCAAACTTATGTTGAAATTTAATCCCCAATGGGGCCATATTGGGAGATAGCGCCTTTAAGAAGTGCACCCTCATGAATGGTTAATCCATTCGTGGATTATTGAGTTAATGGATTAATAGGTTATCACGGGAGTGGAACGGGAAGAAGAAGGACCTGAGCTAGCACACACAGCCCCTCACCATGCAACGCCCTGCGCGGCCTCAGGACTCTGCAGAGAGTCCCCACTAGCAAGAAGGCCCTCACCAGGTGCACCCCATCAACCTGGGACTGCCCAGCCTCCAGAACTGTAAGAAATAAATTCTTTTTCTTTATGAGCAACAGAAAATGGACTAAGACACTAGAATAGTCGGATTCCTAAAAACAGGAGACAGGCTGGGTATGGTGGCTCATGCCTGTAATCCTAGCACTCTGGGAGGCTGAGGTGGGAGGATTGCTCAAGGTCAGGAGTTGGAAACTAGCCTGAGCAAGAGCGAGACCCTGTCTCTACTATAAATAGAAAGAAATTAATTGGCCAACTAATATATATAGAAAAAATCAGGCCAGGCGTGCTGGCTCACGCCTGTAATCCTAGCACTCTGGGAGGCCGAGGCGGGAAGGATTGCTCAAGGTCAGGAGTTTAAAACCAGCCTGAGCAAGAGCAAGGCCCTGTCTCTACTATAAATAGAAAGAAATTAATTGGCCAACTAATATATATAGAAAAATTAGCCGGGCATGGTGGCGCATTCCTGTAGTCGCAGCTACCTGGGAGGCTGAGGCAGCAGGATCGCTCAAGCCCAGGAGTTTGAGGTTGCTGTGAGCTAGGCTGACGCCACGGCACTCACTCTAGCCTGGGCAACAAAGCGAGACTCTGTCTCAAAAAAAACACAAAAAACACAAAAAACAACAGGAAACAGTATGGTGGTTGCTAAGGGCTGGGGGTCTGGGTAGTTATTGTTTAACCACTTCAGTGTGAGCGTTGGCTGTAGCCGACAGCTGTGATACGACTTTTCTAATTTTTCATTTATCAAAATAAAATTGTGAACATTTAAAAATAACGTAATGAAAACATATATGTTACCTATTCTGATTTACATTACAAGTAAAGCTGCCTGTAAAGTAAAACAAGCTTTCAGTGCTTTAAAGCTTTCCTCATCACTCAAGAGCAAAACGGATTCATCAATGCACAACACACACTATCAGCCTGTGAGTGCTGGCTGTGAGCAAGGTTTCGTGGCCGGTGAGCATGGTCCCGAAGTGGTTAACAGGTACAAAGTTTCACATTTACAAGATGAAAAGCTTCTGGAGATTGGTTGCATAGACACTACTGAACTATACATTTAAAAATGGTTAAGAATTCGACCAGGCGCGGTGGCCCATGCCTGTAATCCTAGCACTCTGAGAGGCTGAGGTGGGAGGATCATTTGAGCTCAGGAGCTCAGCCTGTCCAGGTCCACCTACTGTTCCTGGGCTCACACCCTCCAATGGCTTTCATCACTCTCAGCAAAAGCCATGGTCCTTTGAGTGACCCGTGGAATCCAAATGACCTGGCTGCCTGGTCACCACTCTGGAGTCTCTTGCTCAATTTGTTTCAGCCACACTGGCCTCCTTGCTGGTCCTCCAACTCCCACTCACACTCCTGCCAGTCTGGGCAAGAGCGAGACCCCATCTCTACTAAAAATAGAAAGAAATTAGCTGGACAACTAAAACTATATAGAAAAAATTAGCCGGGCATGGTGGTGCATGCCTATAGTCCCAGCTACTCAGGAAGCTGAGGCAGGAGGATCACTTGAGCATAGGAGTTTGAGGTTGCTGTGAGCTAGGCTGACACCACAGCACTTTAGCCTGGGCAACAGAGTGAGACTCTGTCTCAAAAAAAAAAAAAAAAGGTTATGAATTTGTAACCAGCCTGAATAAGAGTTAGAACCTGTCTGTACTTTATAAAATAGAAAAAAATAGGTGGGCATGGTGGTGCATGCATGTAGTCCCAGCTACTCAGAAGGCTACTCAGAGTCAGGAGGATGGCTTGAACCCAGGAGTTTGAGGTTGCAATGAGCTACAGTGACACTGGGGCACTCTACCCAAGGTGACAGAGTGAGACTCTGTCCACTCCCACCCCAAAAAAGGTTAACAAGTTACATTTTATGTTATGTGTATCTTACCACAGTTAAAAATTAATTAATTAAAACCCAAAACCTTTCACCAATGTCTCATGTTTTTTAAAGTCCAAACTCTTAACCAATGTCAGTAAGGATCTGCCTCACTCTGAACCCTCCTTCTACTTCCTAACCTCCAGTAACACTAAGGGGCACCAGAATGCCCATCCAGGTCCACCTACTGTTCCTGGGCTCACACCCTCCAATGGCTTTCATCACTCTGAGGAAAAGCCATGGTCCTTTGAGTGACCCATGGAACCCAAATGACCTGGCTACCTGGTCACCACTCTGGAGCCTCCTGCTCAATTCGTTTCAGCCACACTCACCTCCTTGCTGGTCCTCCAACTCCCAGTCACACTCCTGCCCCCAAGGCTCTGCACTGCTTGCTCTTCCTGTCTCTGGTGGCCTGCCCTCAGACAGGGTTCCACAGCCCGCAGATGGGGGGCTTTGTGCCTCCCAGTGGGGCTCTGTGGCCCAGACAGGGCTCACTCTAGCTGTTGTTTTGATTTGGTGTTTTGTTTTATTTATTTATTTATTTATTTATTTATTTATTTATGGCAGAATCTCACTCTGTCACCCAGGCTGGAGTGCAGTGGCACAAACTCAGCCTTGAACTCATGGCCTCAAGTGATACTCCAGCCTCCTCCTCCCAAAGTGCTAGGATTACAGATGTGAGCCACAGTGCCCAGCCCTGCTCTTTGTTTGGGTCTCTGATTCTTAGCGGGTCTTTTCCAAGCTACCCTGACAATTTAGCCCTGCCTGTATTCCTGTATTCTTTCCCTGCTTTATTTCTTCCACTGAGCATTTATCTAATATGTGTTTTACTTAATTATCTTGCTTATTGTCTCTTTCTCCCACTAGGATGTAACCTATATGAAGGCGGAGATTTTAGCCTGGTGTAGACTATTGCCTGGCATATAGTATGTGCTTAATGAAAATCAGGTGAATGAATGACTAGATGGATGATGAGCTCCTTTTCCTCAGTTGTTAAGATTCAGCTCAAAATTTGCTTCCTTGTGCAAGATCCCCCCAGTGCTCTCCTTGTATCCTGCACAGGCTTCCGCCAGGCCCCAGGGCATTCTATAGCCCTTACCTGTTCACACGTTAAACAGGTGATAGACCTTTTCCCCTAGTGCCTGGCAGAGCTGGGCATGATGTTACATAAATGTGTGAATGAATGATTACATGAGTGAATGAATATATGGACCTGGGCTGGGTTGAGGACAGTTGTATGTGCTTGCTCCTCAGGGATGGGAGGGGACCCTGTACCTTCTCTCCAATCTCTGTCTGGTCCCCACCAGGCAGCATCTCCAGGTCAGCTAGCAGGGCACAGGCCTCCAGCGCCCGCTGGTAGCGCTTGGGGTCCAGTGCTTGGCCAAACAGCACATTTTCCTGAAGAGTGCAGTTCTGGATCCACGCCTGCTGGGGCACGTAGGCCACGGAGCCCTGGCCACGGGAGGAGGTTACGTTGGGGCCTGCCCAAGCTGTGGCTGAGCCCCATGCCCTGCCCAGGAGCCCCTGTCCCTCTCACCTTCATGTGCACTGTGCCTTCCAGCTTCTCCATTTCTCCCAGCAGGGCAGACACCAGGGAGGACTTCCCACAGCCCACAGGCCCCACCACAGCCACCAGTGCCCCTTTGGGGACCTGGATGTCTAGCCTAGGGGCAAGGAACCCAGGAGTCCAGTCAGACGTGGGGACCAGGGTTTTGGTCTCCAGTCTTCCACCTGGAGACTCAAGCCCTCCGCCCTTGCAGACACCACCCTGGCCAGCTGAGGCTCTTCCGGCATCCAAAGACCCTGGGGTGGGGGCTGTGGGCTGCTATTGATCTGATCTTCAGCCCACTGTGGGTGTCAGAGAAGGGACGGGAGAAGCTGGTACCTGAGCAGGATGGGGGCCAGGTCCCGAGCCCAGGTGAAGGTGCCACAGTGTATGGTGATGGCATAGCCTGGGAGGACCAAGGTGAACAGGGTCAGGGAGGGGTGGGGGGAAGAGGACAGAGAAGAGGGGAGGAAAGCCTGGGCCAGGGGAGGGGAACCCTTGTGGGGAGGAAGGGAGGGAGAGGTACAGAGAGCCCTGGGGGGCAGAAGAGGAGGGGGTCACAGAGTTAAAGCAGATGTGAAGAGGAAGAAGAGGAGGGTTGCGACAGGACAATGAGAAAGCTTGGAGCAGAGGATTTTCCGGAGCCAGGACTGGGGTGAACAGCCCAGGAGAGGGGTCTCTGGACCTGGAGCAATGGTCTTCCTTTCCACACACTGGAGGTCAAGTTCATCCTGGCTCAGGAAATGCTGGATCCGTTTCAGAGACACACTGGTCTGCAGGAGGGGGAGTCAGCCCTGGAGACTGTGCTTTTCCACCCCTCCTCCTACCCCTGCCCTTTCCCCAGCTTCCTGCGCTAGGCAGGGCCCCAGAGGGCCCAGACAATAACACCTGGGCCCTTCCATGACTGAGTCTCCCAAGGCTCCCACCACTCAAAGGTCAAGTCCAGGCTGGTAAGAGGAGGCTGTCTCCGGGGACCTCACCCGACCTCCAAATGACCCCTGATCCCAGCGACCTCATTCAACCTTGAACTACTCATCAGGACACCAATGGCCCTTCCCTGATTCCAGCTACTCTCCTTGATTATCCCTTGACCCTAAGTGACCTTTCCCTGACCCCGACAACCTGCCCTGACTCCAGGGGAATCCCCAGCTCCACGCGAGGTTACCTGAGTCAGGTTGCTGATTAACTGGGGCAGCATTTGGAGGGGATTCTTTAAGATATTGAACAAGGACACGGACACGAAGGCCTTCTCGGCGTCCAGCACATTGTTCTGGTCCACGGACACGTACACCCCGAGAGTGATCAGGGTCACCTGGGCAGAGTGCGGGCGGGTGTCGGGGTGGAGTCTGCTGGGCTCCAGCCATACCCGGGCACCCAGAGCCCCGGTTTGGCCCAGCGGGGGGCAGGAGCCCAGCCCCGGCAGAGAGCCTTACCATGAATGGGGTGCAGGTCCAGAGGAAGGTGGAGAGGGCGTGGAGGTAGGCCGCCTTGCGCAGCAGCTGGAGCTCGCCCTGCCTGATGCCCTCCACCTGCCCCGAGAAGCTGGGCTCCCAGGCGTACAGCTTCAGCACCTTGATGCCAGCTAGGATCTCGCTCATCAGCTTGATGCGCGAGTCCTTGAGCTTCATTTGCTGCACCTACACGGTGGAAAGAGTCGCGGTGGCACATCCGCTGCCCTCCCCGGCCTTCCACCCTGTGCCAGAATGCCCAGCCCTTGCCTCCCCCGTGTCCTCTGCCTCACCAAATCCAGCTCCACCCTCGGCGCTGCTGTCACTGACCCCTTCCCTGGGTTTCTAAGGCATGTGGCACTTTCCTCTTGTTCCATAACACTCCTTTCACATAGCCTTCCCCATCAGACTGTGAGCCTCCTGACGTATGAATGGTTTATTTCTCTTTGTTCTTCCAGATGCTAACCCAAGGCTTGGCACACCGGATCAGTTAGTGCATTCGTTCAACCCCTACTTATTGAGCGCCTACTATGTGCCAGGGCATGTGCTGGACATGGAGGATGTCTTGACAAGCAATTCAGACAAGGCCCGGACCATGATACAGCTGACAGTCTGATGGAGGAGGCGGATAACGAGCAAATGATTACCCAAATTAATGCTTAATTAGAAATCATTATGTGTGCTCTAGAGGAAAATAACATTGCAAGACAGCAATGGGGTGGGGGTGGGGAAACAAACTGAGTAATCAGCATGGGCTTCTGGAGGAAGTGACATTTATGCTGAGATGTAAAGGAAGGAAAGGAGCTGGCAGGTGAGAAGGGGTGAAGAGCATTCCAGGAAGAGGGAACAGAATGCGTGGTGGCCCAGAGGTATGCTGAGTTTGGTGCTTTGAAGAAAAGAAAGAAGTCCAGGCTGGCTGAAACTTGGCCATGGCACTGGGTGGTAGGGGTGGGGGTGAGGGATTGGCAAGGTAAGCAGGGGCCTGGTGGGTGGTCTTAGGGACTTTGTCATTTATTCTACAGGCAGTGGGAAGCTACTGAAGACTTCAACACATGTTTGCAAATAACAGACTGAATGACTGGCTATTTATGATTAGAGGAGAAAGATTTCATTAGACCAGAAGACTCAGGTTGAGTCCCAACTCTGTGTGATTCTGGACTGCCATAATTTCTCTGGGCCTTGGTTCCTCAGCTTCAAAATGAGAATGTTACTAAAACTCTCTCAGAGCTGTGAGGGCAGAGTGAGCTATGGTTTGTGCAAGTGGCTAGCAGCCGTCCATACTCAGTGAGCAAGGCGGTGGAGAGGCCCCCAGGTTAGTGAGCAGCCTTGCCCGGGCAGCTGGCCAGGTGATCCAGGCAGGGCCCGTGCACCTGTGGTAGCGCCTACCTGGAAAGCACGCATCTTCACGGCCACAGCTCCATTGAGTGGGATCAGCAAGACTATGACAGCAACGCCAGCCAGGGCAGAGGGACCCAGGTTCTGAGGAGGCACAGACAGATAGATGAGACAGATGAACAAATAACCAAAGTCTACAGACAGAACCTAACAGACAAACAGGCCTGTTGACCCAAAACATGGAGCTGGGCAAGAAGCCAGAGATGGTGGTCGGCAAACAGATCGGGACAGAACGACCACACATTTGCAGAAGCAGCCAGTCATCAGATAATGACCACAGGGACAGACAGCAGACATAGAAGGGTGTCCAGACACACAGCATGGCACACATAGACAATGACAGCAGTCACACCCACCCTGCCTCCAAGACCCTCTTTCCTCCCATGGCTTCTGGGCGAAGGGTAACAGGCAGGTTGGAAGGATTCACTGCAGACACCAGCATCCTCGAAGTCCTGCTCCTCCTCCCCTGCCCCCAGTACCTAGGGAAGCTCTCGTGTCTATCCACATCCTCTCTGCCCACCCAGAATAACTCTCTCCTTTTCCCTTACTTTTCTCCCTTCTCCCCTCATCCCTCCCTCCCTCCCTCTCTTCCTTTCTTCCTTGTTTTTTTTTCTTTTTTAGACAAGAGTCCCTTTGTTGCCCGGCTAGAGTGCTGTGGCGTCAGCCTAGCTCACAGCAACCTCATACTCCTGGGCTCAAGCAATCCTACTGCCTCAGCCTCCCGAGTAGCTGGGACTACAGGCTCGACTCACTACCACGCCCGGCTACTTTTTTCTATTTTTAGTAGAGAGGGGGTGTGTGTGGGGGTGTCTCGCTCTTGCTCAGGCTGGTCTCAAACTCCTGACCTCAAGCGATCCTCCTGCTTTGGCCTCTAAGAGTGCCAGGATTACAGGCGTGAGCAGCCACACCCGACCTCTTTGTTTTTAGAGATGGGGTCTGCTGTGTTGCCCAGGCTGGACTGCAGTGGCTATTTACAGGTATGATCATTATACACTACAGCCTTGAACTCTTGGGCTCAAGCGACCTTCCTGCCTTAGCCTACTGAGTAGCTGGGATTATAGGCACGTGCCTGGGCCCCAGAACAGTCCTCTCTTGTCCCTTCTTCAGCAAGGTCAGAGGAAGGGGCAGAGGTCAGGGTTTGAGTTACCTGCCAGAGGAAGTAGATTGCCAGGATGATCTGCAGGGGTGCCGACCACACCAGGTTGAGGTAGGGGGCAAGGTCCATGAAGCGCTGGGCATCCACTGACATGAGGTTGACAATTTCCCCCACAGTAGATGCACGTTTGACCGAGCTGGTGATCACCAGAGCCTGCAGGTGGACAGCAGAGCAGGGGACTCAGCTGCAAGCCTCTCACGGGCTGCCCGGGGCTGGCCTGCCCCCATCCTTCCATGCCCAGCTGACCTTCCTGTAGATGACACCTATGATCCCCGTACGGAACCGTAAGCCCAGCACGAAGATGCACTGGTGATACTGATTTAAGACCAGCGTCTGCATCACGGAGCACACCAACATCAGCCCAGCCACCAGGAAGCCCCACCAGGTGGGGGCCGAGGGGTTTGAAATAAACCTGATCAGGACGCTGTGGGGAAGAGAGAGGCACGAGGTGAGCGAGGGTGTCCGATGTCCCAGCGTCTCCCTTCTCTGCGGCCTCTGCTTCCACACTCAGCCCCCCAGCAGCCCCTGCCTCTGCACCCTCTCAGGTGGGGGCTGCCAGCCCGTGCCCACACCCCACTCCCCATCCCACCCCAGGCCGGGAGGGTCAGCCCAGCTGCCTCAAGACCATGACCTCCATCCTTGCGCCAGGCTGCTGCCTTCACCTCCTTCCCTATCCCCCGTGGGCCCTGCTGCCCACTCTGTCTGTGGCTGTCACCACCAGCCTCACCTGCCAGCCTCTCTCACCTCCTGAACCACGCGGCAGGAAAGCGGGCTGCCGAGGGCCCCACAGACCGCCACAGGACCACAACAGCCTCTCGCCCCCAAATCCATCCTCCCAACTGCAGCGGCCTCCCGCGCTGCCCAGTGACCTTCTGCAGGTCCCTAACCCACCCCGCTCCAGGGCCTTCTTCACCCCTCTCTTCTTACCTTCTGGCCTGTCCCCATGCCCTGCCCCTCTCAGCAGCTGTCTCCCCACTCAGCCACCCACGAGGACTCCCTGCCACCCACACTCTGCCCTCCAAGCACCCGCCCTCTTCCTTTCCTCCTGCCTCGGAAGATGAGTGCCCTCCGACTGTCCTGCTGGCCCTGCCCCCCGGAACGCACTCCGTTCCTGCCCCTTTCCCTTGGTCCCCACCGTCTTCCCCTCTGCCAGCCGCTCTGCCCTTCACTCTTGACAGGTTGGGACCCTGGAACCCTCCGGCCAGGGTCACAGCCCGGCCTCCCTGTGGTTACAGGCTGATTCGTGTCTCTCTGAAAGGTAAGCTCAGGTCCCAAGCCCTGCTGCCTGCGCATGTGACCTCATTTGGAAATAGGGTCTTTGCGATGAGGTCATGTTGGAATAGTGTAGACTCTAATCTAGTGACTGGAGTCTTTATAAGAGAAAGAAGAGGGAGAACTGCAGACACACACACACACACACACACACACACACACACACACACACACACACGAGAACGCCACGTGAAGACAGAGATCAGAGAGATGCACCTACTAGGCAGGATGTGCCGAGGGTTGTCAGACACTACCAGAAGCTAGGAGAGAGGCATGCGACAGATCCTCTTCCAGATCCTCTGCAAGGAACCAACCCTGCCGACACCTTGATTTGGGGCTTTTGCCTCCAGAACTGTGAGGGAATCAATTTCTGTTGTTTTAAGCCACCTAATCTGCAGTGATTTGCTACCGTAGCTCTAGGAAATGAATACCCCTTTCTTTTTTCTTTTTTTGAGATTGGGTCTCTGTCTGTCACCCCAGCTAGAGTGCAGTGGCATGATCATAGCTCACACCAACTTCAAACTCCTGGGTTCAAGCAGTCTCCTCTGTCTCAGCCCCCTTAGTAGCTGGGACTACAGGCATGCACCACCATGCCCGGCTAATTATTCTATTTTTAATAGAGACAGGGTCTCGCTTTTGCTCAGGCTGGTCTCAAACTCCTGAGCTCAAGTGATTCTCCAGCCTCGGCCTCCCAGGGTACCAGGATTATAGGCGTGAGCCACTGGCCAATACCCCTTTCTTTACAGCAAGTTTCTAGGCCTGCAGCCCCTGCTCTCAGGCCCTTCCGCTCTGTCCCAGCCTCTATTTTTGCAAAGTCAATTACCAACTCCATGGTGCCTCCCACAGGCTCTATTTTACTGGCCAGCTTTCTTCACTGGAGGTTACTCCCCTCATCCCCCCACCCCCGGAAGCACTTTCTGCACTTCACTTCTCATTCCAGGTTCTTTTCTTTTCTCAGCTCTGGCCCCTCCAGTCTGCCCTGTGCTCCTGTCACTCTGCGGGGGTGCTCCGCCATTGTCCCCTGCATGGGCTCTCTGGGAGTGCTGAGCCACACAGGTGGGACTGTGGGCTTCCAGTGCTGGCCCTGATAATGTGACCTCCAGCTAGCTGGGCACCCTCCCAATCCCAGATGGCCCATCAGCACCGCCCACCCAACACGGCCACCTCACTCCTGCTTGGGCCCAGCATCTCAGCAAGAGGTCCATCATCCTCCAGTCCCCCAGGCCAGAGCCCAGGTAGCCCCTGCCTTCCCCCTCTCCTTGGCCACACACCCAGCTCTGGAACAGCTCCCAGGGAGGCTTCTCTCATGCCTGGCCTGGATCTGACAGGTTGGCCCACTTCCATCCACCAGCCCTGCCCTGCCTCCCCGCCCTGCTGGCAGGAGAGCCTCTAAACTCAGAAACACCTGGAATCCCTGAGTCATGCTGTTTCAGGCCTTTGTGACTAGCTTAGGCTGAACTTTCCCCTCTATCTCCGCCTACTTGTTCCTCCAAACCTGTGACTTCCTGAGTTGGCATCCCCGCTTTGTCCCAGGCTGGCTTGCTTGGCCTCCCAGGCCTTTCCAGACACCCGAGTACAGCTCTGCCCCCACTTATTCCAACTGATGTACATGCTGGTTTCTCCTGCAGACCTCAAGACCATATCTTTTTTTTTTTTTTTTTTGAGACAGAGTCTTACTTTCTTGCCTGGGCTACAGTGAGTGCTATGGTGTCAGCCTAGCTCACAGCAACCTCAAACTTCCTGGCAAGGGATCCTCCTGCCTCAGCCTCCCAAGTAGCCTCCCAAGTAGGAACTATAGGAATGTGCCACCATGCCCGGCTAATTTTTTCTATGTATTTTTAGTTGGCCAATTTAATCTTTCATTTTTAGTAGAGACAGGGGTCTTGCTCTTGCTCAGGCTGGTCTTGAACTCCTGACCTCAAGCAATCCGCCCACCTCGGCCTTCCAGAGTGCTAGGATTACAGGTGTGAGCCTCTGTGCCTGGCCCTCAAGACCATATCTTGTTTATCTCTGTGTCCCTAGCGACTAGCACCATCGTGGTACCCTGGAGGCTCAACAAATGTTCATGGAACAAATGAATACACACCTGGAGGGGCTCCGGGCTCGGCTGCTAGGCAGCTCTCCCTCCCTGCCCCTCATCTGAGAGCTCCTTCCAGTCCGAGCCACTGCTGTGACAGATGGCAGAGCCCGATGGTGGTGAAAAGCGCACGGGAGCTGCGACACTTGCCAAGGGTCACACAGGAAGTGGAGATAGCCCCTCCCGATCCTGGGGTTCTCTTCACTGTGAGTCTCCTCCTCGGCCAGCCCCCCGCAGGCCCCTGCCAAGAGGGAGCGGACACCTGAGCAGCTGCGGGTTGATGAAGGACAGCAGATCCTGGACGAGCTTGAAGCAGGCACCAATGAGGAAGCTGGGGCCAAAGGTGGCCAGCATGGCCCACAGGAACGAGGGCCCCCCGGGCCTGGGCCGCGCCTGCAGCAGCGCCTCATCTTCACCGGAGCCGCTCTTCCCAGACGCCGCCGCAGCCTGGCGTCTGGTCCGGGAGGAAGGAGCAGTGGGTGGAATGGGCTCGGGGCCCCATGGAGCCAGGGGCCAGGCTGGGCTGGCTGGGAGCGAGGAGGGGGAGGAGGGAGCTGGATTTTGGCTCTCAGAACTGAGAGGGGACAGAGAACGTGAGTACTGTGTGGGTGCCTCTGTCTTCAGGTGCTAGAGGGCCCCAGCGGGGACAGATTGCGGCCTCACTCTTCCCAGCCCCTGGCCTCTCCCTAGCGCCCCAGGGCTGGCTCCAGAGCGGACGCTGGAGCGAAGGGGAGATGAGGGCAAGGAAGACTAGTGGCCCAGGCAGTGGGCAGCTGAGCAGCTAGTGGCAACCAGGAGCCTGGGCTGACTGAGCACTGAACTCTGAGGGCACGAGTGGGAGGAAAGAGGGTCAGTCCTGGGGGCAGAAGTGGCTGGGGAAGGATGACGCTGAGCCCAGCTCTCTTGGCCGGGCAGTTGGCCAGAGACAGAAACAGGAGGCCGGGCTGGGTTGGGGGTGTGCTAGCTCCTTCCCGTCCTGGAGGAAGTCTCTGGAATCTACCCTGTAAGTCAGGCAGTGTAGTGCAGTGGCGAGTGCTGGACTTCTGGGGCCAGAGAGCTGGGTGTGGAGTCCAGCTCTGCCACCGTCAACTAGGGGACCTTGGGCCTATTTGTCCCCATCTGTAACATGGGGACAACAGAACCCATGCTGTAGGGCTGCTGAGAGGTTAAATGAGTTAATCTCTTAGGACGGGGCCTGGCTAGCAGGTAGTGTAGGGAAGAGCCAGCCGTTCTCCTGCCTTGCTGGAGAGAACTAGCCCTGTCCAGGCATAAGCTTCCCACATAATGGCTGTGAGGCCACCAAAAAATCACCTGCACCTGCTCTGTCCGCCATCCCATGTGACCATCCCAGGCCCACTAGCGTCATCTGCAGGGGACCTGGGTATGTGAGGGGCTGGGGGGGGGGGCGCGGGGACACAGGGCGGGCCTCACCCTGGTGCCTGCTTTTCCTGCTTCCTCCACGCCTCCAGCAGCCGCTGCACCACCTTGTAGGATTTGTCCTCCTCATTGAGGGACCAGAGGTCCTGCTCCTCCAGGGGACGCCGGTAGCCGAGGATGGCCATCCTGGATGGGGGGTGGGGGTGGAGGAGGCAGGCAGCCCCACATAGGGTCAGAATTTGGCAGCCTCGAGCTGGGGGCCAGTGTCTCCAGGGCCCCAGGGTCTCCCTTGGGTGTGTGACCAAGGGAGGTGTCTCCATTCCCATGGTGAACAGGCTGGAGGTCTTTGCATCCCCCTCCCAAGGTCCTACCCCTAGCCTGCTCCTCGTCCTGCCTACGTGCCCCATCTCCCCCAGGCCCTGGGGATGAAGTCCGAGCTGGCTTGGGCCCTGCGTGAGGACACGCTTGGTGGAGTCAGCCCTGGCCTCAGGTGCTTCCTCAGTGCGGCAGGTTAATGAGCTGTCACCCAGGTCACAGACACAATTATCCTGCCCAAGCCATTCTGAGGGACAGCCAAGAAGATGACAAGCTGCAGGTTTATCCCAGACGGAAGCGCTGGGAACTAATTACAGTCTCCTTCCAGCCCCCTGGGCTTGTCCCCGGGCCTGCCAGGTGCAGGGCTGGCCGGCAGCCTGGGAGCAGAGCTGGGCCAGGCCAGGCCTCTGCACCAAGCCACGCAGCCCAGACACTCTTCCCCACTGTCACCTGCCCCAGGGCCAGCCAGGACCCTGAACTTCTGACCTGCTCCCTTTCCCCAACCTCACCTCCAATCTCTCCCCCTCCCTCCCTCTGGCCCAGGCTGAGCAAAGAGCCAACTTACTTTGTGAACCACCAGAAAGACAGGCGGGAGAGAAAGCCAGCACTGGCCTCTGGACAGGGGTTCTAGAAGGTGCGAATGGGATGGTGGAATCAAGAAATGCCCACCACCCTCTCAAAGCAGGGGAGAGGAGGGGGGATCCCCTCTCTGCTTCCTGCTCCAAGCCCCAGCACACAGACTGTGGAGGTGACATCTCTCCCCCTTTGGGGGCTGCTTGCAAGGGCTGAGTTGTGAGCTTCGGCACCCCCACACCCTCTGCGGCAAACTCACAGGTTCGACATTCTTTTGGGAGAAAAGCGGTGGTTTCTCCCTGAAGCAGGACAGGATGAGCGCAGACAACACCAGGGCAAAATAGATGTAGAAGGTGGTGAAGCGAAAGGGGTCTGAGATCCTGCCCTGGGGGAGAGGGAGGGGGTGTCAGAAGCACCAGGGGAGCCTGGGCCTGCAGCCCTGCCCTGGGGAGAGCCGGGCGGCAGCCCTCTGGGGTGGGAGGTAGAACCTGCAGGATTCTGGGGAGAGGGAAGGACCACAGGGCTGGGGTTCAGTGAGGACTTGCCCCAGGCCAGACACTGTGCCAGCACTTGACCTTCGTCTAACAGGGACAACAGCCTACAGGCCGGAAATCTCAAGACTCCTATTGCAGGTGAGGGAATGAGTGAGGCCCCAAAGGGCTAAGGAACAGGCCTGAGATCACATAGGGAGTAAGTGGATCGTCCAGAGCCTGTGCTCCCGGCCACTCTCCTTGACTGCGTCCCAACGAGATGGAGAAACGGGAGGCACTAGAGGATTCCATCCACCACCCAACACCACCTCCATCCAAGGTCAAGAGGAAGGCCAGGGACCAAGGAAGGTGGGAAGAGAGGGGCACAATGTGCTAATGGGACTTCTAGGTAAGACAGAACTTTACACATGTCTTCATTACCCAGACGCTGACTGACACCCACATCAGACATTGCACTTGGTGCTGCTGCGGGTGCAGGGGGTGGGGACGGGGGGGCGGGGGGGGGGAGGCGGACAGCCCTCTGCACTCCCACGACCATCAACAACGGCAGCATCTTTGCCCCATTCCCGTGTGTTACACCAGTGCCCCCTCCCCAGCCTGCTTCCAGGCAGAGATGCAGCGAGGGAACACGGATTGCACACAAGGTCCTGGGGACAGCAGGAAGGGGCCTGGGACCCATCAGTGACCTTGAGCTCTGAGGTCACCCTCCTAGACAGGGCTGGACCTGGCAGGTTCCCTCTCTCCCCACCCTCCCCCCTTACCTCTGCCTTGGCTGAAAGGATCTTGGAGCGGAAGGGAACGATGGCGCATAACACACACAGGAACCAGAAGATGATGAGGACCCCCGAGGACTGCACGCCCTGCAGCCGCTCATACTGGATCAGCAGAGTGGCCAACAGCTGTGCAGGGAGGGCAGGAGAGGCTTGGGCAGAGCACACACATCTGGACCTGCCTCCTTTCTCCCCGTCCACCCCCATCCTCTTCCCACTCCCGGCGTCCAGCCTTCTCCACAGAGCCCGGGGTTCTCCCATCACAACCCATAGCCCCACCCAGCATCCTGGGCCCCACACTGACCATGGTGACCCCCACAACCAGGGGGGTGACAAAGAAGATGGGGGCAGGGGCCCAGCCATGGATCAGGCCGTGGAAAGAGTAGAAAAGTTCCGCCCAGGAGACACACCACAGCAGGACGCCCAGGACCTATGAACAGGGAACAGGTTGGACCCCCATCCCCAGAGACAGAGACAGTCCTGCTGGGGTGGTGTCTTTGCACCTGAAGCCACCAGACCTGCTTGGGCCTGGCCCTGAGGGCTGGGAAGGGTGCTGGCCAGAAGCTTCTTGGGAGTGGGGAGAGCATTGCTGAACTTGCTTGAACTTTCCCAAACCAGGAATATCTCAGCTGGCTGTAGACCCAGTTGGCTGGCTGCCATGCCCCAGGCTGCAGGCCAGGTGAGGCTGGGGAACAAAGTCCAGCCGAGGAGTGGATGGGTGGGGGAGGGGCTCATTAAAAGCAGAATCCTCTAGTCCCAGCCCAACCCATAGCAGAGCCCTGAGCCCCTGACCGTCTTGAGCCTGGACAGGTGGGAGAGGATGATGTAGCCATGATGGTGGTGCCGCAGGTAGTACAGGTAGCAGGGCAGAGCAACCCACAGGTAGATGCAGGGGATCCAGGCGAGCAGGGAGTTCTGGAAGCAGGGAGTGAGGTCCGGGTTGTCCGTGTGCACAGACAGGTTGGAATCCTGGGACAGAGAGGACAATTCAGTGGCAGCCTCTAGAATTGGGCTGTTCCTTGACAGCATCTCTCTGGGTGGGTCAGAGAGATGCTCCATCCAAGATAGGAGTGAGGGCCAGGCGCGGTGGCTCACGCCTGTAATCCTAGCACTCTGGGAGGCCTAGGCGGGTGGATTGCTCGAGGTCAGGAGTTCGAAACCAGCATGAGCAAGAGCGAGATCCTGTCTCTACTATAAATAGAAAGAAATTAATTGGCCAACTAATATATATAGAAAAAATTAGCCGGGCATGGTGGCACATGCCTGTAGTCCCAGCTACTCGGGAGGCTGAGGCGGCAGGATTGCCTGAGCCCAGGAGTTTGAGGTTGCTGTGAGCTAGGCTGACACCATGGCACTCACTCTAGCCTGGGCAACAAAGTGAGACTCTGTCTCAAAAAAAAAAAAAAAAAAAAGATAGGAGTGAGGTGGAAGGCAGGTGAGGAGGAGGGAGCCTAAGTATGCAAATGAGCAGGTGCTGTCCTGAGTGTGAGTTCTCCAAGGAGGCCATGGCTGCCTCCATTTCTTCACATTTTCTCTCTCTCAATGATGTATAATTTAAGAGCAATAAAACTGCACCCATTTAAAGCGTGCAATTCAATGAGTTTTGACAGTTTAAGACAGAGAAATATTGCCTCCTATGGTACATGAGCCAGATAGAGGAGGTATAATTCTGGATTAGTTA